CTCACAGAGCCCCCCCCCCCAACCCCGGGGTCTTGCCGCACAGGGAATGCTTTTAAAAATGAATTTGCAAACAAGCCAACAAATCCTACACTCCAAAAAACTACGACCCTGATTTTTTGTGTGCCAAAAACTGTGGACATGCTGGCTCAGCATCCTCAGGACCAAGCTGTTGCTTAATTTTAATTTATTGTTTTTTTTATTAAATAATCCAGATGAAAAGTTGTGGGGCCTAGGATGGCCTGGCCCAAAGGATCTGAAGGGCCGTCTCCTAGCAGCCCCAGGCTGGCTGTGGGAAGGGCCTGCCACCACTTGCTCATCAATCCGTGGGGTATGTCAGCCTTGGCCAGCCCGACACGGAGAGGCCAGGGCTGGGGACAGTCCACACTCCACCACTCTCCTGCCCACCCCAGCTCTGTGTCTGTGTCTGAATTGTGGATCGTGCAGAAGAACCTGCAGCCATAGTTATTTTGACTATATCTTGACCGAGGGCTTGCAGTGCAAAGCCAGGCCAGTGTCGTGCATTACTTACAATAAAAGGGATCATTTATACCCAAGGGGTCCTGTGGCAGTGCTTTTGGGTGGGGGGGGGGGGGGAGGGAACAGGGGTCTACCTGGGAGAAGGTGGGTATGGCGCCTGGCAACAAGCTTGCCTCCCTTAGCAGATGAGAACTTGAAATGACTCCAAGAGGGGTCCTGGGGTGGTGTGACTTGGCTGGTACCACTGCTAGCTCAGAAGTGGCTCCCTCTCTTCCCCCCATTCCTCGGAGCTCTGCCGAGGGTGGTTCTACCACAGCTGACTCACTGAGGTGGCACTGTCAGCTCACCTGACCCGAGTGTCAATGTGGCTCAGTTTCCGGGACCTTTGTGGCATCCACTGGTTTTCCCAGCCCAGGGAAGGACTCACCTGAGTCGTATCCTTGCAGGGCAGGGATGGGGCACCTCCAGGAGCCACCTCTCTGATAGCTCCCCCAGGGCTATCTGCTGCTGTTGCTTAGCTCGGAGCAGAGAAGGACCATCCTTGTCCCCATCTGAGGCCTCTGGCGCAGACGTTGGACCTGCCCCAAGTGAGGCTCTCAGCAGCCCTCCTCACGCTCTGAGGACCCAGGCTCGGGGTGCCAACTCTGCTTGCTGTTAGCTCTGCCATTTCCAGGGGCAACACAGCACAGTGGCCCACCCATGTGCCTTCGGAGTTTGAGGCCCAGCTCCCTGCCCTGTTCTATGGGCATGAGGTCACTTAGGAACTTAAGGACGTATATGGGGTGGAGGTAGCAAATCCCCCAGGAGTCTGCCCTCTTGTTCCACCAATTCACATAGTCCACAGGCAGTTGGGGGAAATCAGGATGGTTGGGTCTGGGGCAGGACAAGCCAGACATCCTGCCTGTATTCTGTTGGGGTGGGGGTGGGGGCGGGGGGGGATCTTAGGTCCTCCAAGCTTGCCTTGTTTGTTGTAAACTGTTGTCCCCTCAGAAGAGCAGACGAGCTGTTTCTCCTTAGACTGCTTGGGATGGTGACCACAGCTGCCCCATTCCCTGGAGCTTGAAAAAGCAGGAGGAAGACAGATGGGGAAAGGGAACAGAGACTAGGAGACCTTTGATACAAATTGCTGGATCTGCTCGTTCCCACCATGCCTTCCTGAATTCCAGGGCAAAGGGGGCTCAGACGAGGACTCAGCAAAAGGATTCGGTCTTGTACCCCAACATACTGAAGTGCAGCGAGGCGCAGCACCATTACCCACTGACGGCCTGACCTTAAGCAACACAGACTGCGGGGCAAAGTGGAGTTCAGTCATCAGACACTCTGGGTTCGACAGCATGAAGGCCTGGCTGGGAAGCGCACCCCCTTTTCTCAGGCTGCCTAGTGTTCATTCCCCTAACAACACCCATCACCATCAGCCCCCTACCACCAATCAAGGCCAGGGGTGCTTTGGGCTGACCCTGTCCCCCTTCACTTCTGTGTGGTGACTCTGTGTCCTTCCTGCCACAAAACCCCCCATCAGGCCACATAATACAGAGTCAGGATCTGTTGAAACGTGTTTAAAACAGGGTTGATTACAACAGTCAAAACCGGCAGAAATGGGAGAAGAGAGGAACGTGACCCTGCCAGCTCCCCACCAGTCTCTGTGGCTCTCAGCCTGGCCGGTGCTTTAGCTTCTGCTGCTTCCGTGGTGTGGGATGGTCCCATGCCCTGCCTCGCCTTGGGGGGGGGGGGGGGGGGGCGGGGCGGGGCTCTTCCACTTCCCCTCCCCTCCCCCAGTGGGTCCTGGTGGGCATTTGGAGAGATCCAGCAGGGGGCACCCTGGCTCACCTTCCTGCAGTCTCCATGGCTCAGGACCAGGCTAAGGGCAGAGGTAGATGGGGAGATGTGGGGGCCACACAGGGCCCTGGGTGGCAGTGAGGGAGCTTGGGACCCTGAGGGGGGCATGCTGACTCCTTGCTGGAGAAAAGGCACCTAGATAGGGAAGCTGGGTTGGGGGGCCTCCCCAGGGGGCCGTGGGGTAAGGGGGGTAGGCTGGAAGCAGCAGGAAGCGGGCTGGTGAGCAAAGCCCAGTCCTGGTTCCCTAACCCCCCACCCACTGAGGGAGAAGGAAGGAATCCCGAAGCAGAGCCCTGCCCCCAAGACCCTCTGCCCGAGCAAGACGGCCTCAACCCCTTCCCACCCTGACCCCGCTGCCTGCACCCGGACCCCGGGGCCCGGTCCAACCTCTCTCCCACCCTGCCCGCTGCCTGCTCCAGGCCCTCGAGGGAAGGAGGAGGGAGTGGACGGTGAGAGGGGCCTCAGGCTGTCTTGGTGCCGGGGTCCACCTCCTTGTGGGCCCAGAGCTCCTTGTGCTGCTTCCGGCCGAAGCCTTCGTCATAGTTGCCTTTGCTCTTAAACAGCTGCTGAAAGTGGGGTTTGCAGTAAAATTCCCCGTGCAGCGCCGCGTAGCTGCCCAGGCTGTAGAAGCAGAACAGCTGCGGTCAGGTCGGGTCGGGTCAGGTCAGGAAGACCAGAGCGGGGGTAGGGCAAGGGCGCACCTGAGCTTGGTGTGGCAGTGCTTGCAGCAGAAGCAAGAGTTGTGGAAAATGAGCTTGTCGGCCACCAGCCGCTCCATGGGGTACACGGTCTTCTGGCAGGCAGCGCAGGTCTCCCTCACCTGGGCGCGAAGGCTGAAGGACTGTTCCGGGAGAGACCCCATCAGGGGCCTGACCAGCGACGAGCCCGCCCTCCCGCACACCACAGCCTCAGGGCCCTACCTTGGAGCGCTGAACCGCGCCGCCTGCCACTGCCACCTTTGGCTTCCTGTGGGAGAGGGCAGGCGGGGCAGGGTCAGCTGAGGAGGGCCCCAGACCATCACCAGCCCAGATCCCAGGGACACTCAGGAGGAGGGGAAGGGAGACAGGCAAAAACGCCGCTCGGCACGCCTTCACCCTCAGGCCAGACACCTGCGGGAATGGAGTTCCCTCCCACCCAGCTGATCACCTACGTGGGAGGGGGTGGCCTGGGTGGCTCCTGCAGCCTGGAACATGGCTCGCTGGCGGCGATGGAGGCCCCGTGTGGAGCCGCGGCACCCGCTGGGTTCTGCAAGGGGAAGTCGGTTGGGAGGGCCCCACAAGCCCTTCCCCAGCCCGCAGGGTGGGGGGTGGGGTGTTTACAGGCAAGGGGCTGGGGGGCCGCGGTTGGGGCTTTCCCTAAGTCATTTCCTGTTGCTCTGGGTCTTGCCACTTCCGCCCCTCACCCACCTCCCCCTTGGCCCGCTCGTCCCCCACGCGGCTCCGCAGGGGGCAGGGGTCCCTGAGTGGAACCATGTGTCGGGGAAAAAACAGTTAGCTGGCAGCGGCTGGGGGAGGGGCTCCGCGCAGCGGCCTGAGCGCTTCGCAGACCAGGACCCCTCCTGGCGCGAGGGGAGGTCAGGAGAGGGCGAACCCTGGGGGAGGGGCGGGGGGCTCGCGGCCAGAATCCGCTGCCCCGGCCTGACCCCGGCCCAACCCTCCCCAGCGCGGGGCCGAGGCGCGGGGGCCCGGGCGCTCCTC